ACTAATAACCCATTTGGGATCTATCATTCCTGTTTTATCCAAACCTTTCTTGACCCGACTTCTATTTCTAGCTTGTACCACCTTTTGGGTCACCAATTCTATTTACTTATTTCCCCTTAGTTTCTGACTTAATGGCTGGAGAGGGTAAGATTCCCTTCCATATTACTCTCAAGCCACCAAACTGGGGTCATTGTCACTGTTAGTAATAATGGCTGCTATTTATTAAACATTTACCAGGGAGCACAAGAGCCAAGAGCGTCACATGCATTATCTCGTTCAAGAACACTACAGAGTCAGAAGTACTATTCCACTCCACACGTGAGACTTGAAGAGCTTTAGCAAGTTGCCCAAGGTCACCTAGCTCGTGAGGGATGGCGGTTTGGACCTGAACACAGGGCGTCAGTCTCCATCATCTGGAGGAAAGGAAGACCAAAGCGTTGTGGCCATTCATGACTAGTCACCACTCTATGGTGTCTAGCCATGACTAGTCATTTCCTACGACCGGGGAGGGTGTGACAAGTGATGAAGGCTTGGAGTCTGTCTTTGTAAGTGGTGGGGTGGTGGGGAGAGGGCTGTGTTAGTAACTGCTGTTGCATTCACTTCAGGAGGGATGGACCCAGATCTGATTCCGCAGGATCAACAGTGTGGACAACGGAGCCTGTGTAGACATCCAAAGTTCTCACGGTGACTTGGGGAAGACTGGGAGAGCAGACATGTTGTCCCAAGTTAGAGTGGAAAGACATTCCTACTTTATAAGAAAGAATAAAGGGAGGACATCTTGACTGGGGTCTGGTCCTGAAAAGTCCCCTCATTAAGCAACAGTCTGGAGAGGCCCAGGTCTACCACTGTCTTTAAAGCTCTTAGTAATATTGAAAAAGAAAGAAATACAAAGCCAGGTTACTAAAACTGTTTTATTATTTTTAAATGTTTACATTAACAAAATGACACCTTTCAATATAAAAAGCAATATAATTGTGCTAGCCACAAGATCACTGTAGGACTTAGAAACTAATTGTAATTCAGGGTGCCCTGGAGTTAAAGGGGTCCAGCCAGTGCATCCCTGTGGCTGCAGAAGCTTCTTTGGAGGTAACGTCAGGAATCTTCGAGGCCCGCTGTGAATTACCAGAACGTGTGACTTGGCTGGAACGGTCCTCCTGGCTCCCCTGTGATCGTCACTGCCGTGCAGAAAGAGAAAAACTCTGTTATTTCTGGGCAAGGTTTCCACAGACCGATTAGTCCCTTCCTTTCTGCTTTTTACCATAAAATAAACCTGCTGTATCAACATCAGCTGATCTTGAAAGCCAAAAAATTCTCTCTTGTGCCGAAAGCAAGAGGGATAAGGAAGTGGACATTATGGGAGGACCTTAGTGCCCGAGCCCTTATGTGCATGTTGTTTCATTGCTCTCGCAACCGCCCTGGGAAGGTGTAAGCGTTACTCGTCCTATTTGTGTGTCAGTTAATTGATTTGTCCAAGCTCACACAGCATAGGCGGGGCTGGGACGCAGAGCTCTGGGAAGCTCGAGCTCTTTCTTTGCAGTGTCCGAATGTGATCGTGCCACGGAGCCACATGAAGCCCAGGAGGATCCCCGTGGGGCTGGAGGGGCCCCTGGCAGCCACCCTCCTCCTGGGGTGGTCAGCAAGCTTGGACACTTCACTGTTTCCTTCTCTTCTGTTTCTTCTCCTGGCTGACTCGGCCCCTCCCTACTCCTTGCTTATGATACTTATTTTTCCATCCACAGCAAAACAGTTTACATCAAGGTAATTGATGGTGAGGCGTATGAGAAAAACAAGAATTACTTCATTGAGATGATGGGCCCCCGCATGGTGGATATGAGTTTTCAGAAAGGTGTAGTACCCCGTCCTCCACACTGACACTAGCGCCCTTCGCTCCCCTTCTGTCTCTTCCTCTCTCCACCCTGTGTGTCTCTCTCCTCCTGTCTAGTCTCTCTGGTTCACTTTCCCTTGTTTCTTCTCTTGCTCTCTTTCACTCTGTTTTCGCTTCTCCCTCTCTGTCTCCTCTTTCTGCTCCCAGCTCTGTCTTAACACCTGCCAGCCTGTCACATGGTAGCCATGAGGGATGCTCAAGACCAACGCTGATTTTTCTGGGATGAAGAAAGGAGTGTGGGGAGAGAGAGAGAGAGAGAGAGCCAGTGCACCGAGAGCGTCATATACGAGGCTCTCTGCTTCCTCTGGGTGGCTTAGTGCACAGGAAGGAAAAGGCCTGAGAGCACCAGCCAGGAGGGAAGCACCAGGAAACAGACTCGGCAGAGATCTCCATGGGGCGGTGTTCTTAGGGCTAAGCTCGAAGTCCCTGGAAGTTGAGAATTGGTGTCCGTGAATCATGGCTCATCCTACTCCCTAAAGCAGGCCTCGGGAGCCAGCGGATCTTGCTACATGCCTACTATCAAGGCTTGTTTCTCTCCCTGACCTTGACTGAGCTGAAAGTACAGATTTGAGTTCCAGGTCTAGGTCAAAGACCTCCCTGCCTTCCTCTGCTTTTCCCCTTAAAGAGCATAGGCTGTGCAGGCAGAGAGTTAGAGCAGCAGGAGAGAGGATTCTGACCCGAATGGACGCTTCCCCACGAAGTCCATGGGACTTCTCAGAGTGAATGAAATCTTTGCCTTCAACTTTCAGATCCCATGCGTCCCACGGCCTCCGATAGGTAAGTCAGGAAACCCTTTCCTGGACAGACCGTACTGTGGGGAAGAAAGACTCCAGTACTGGGGCATTGTTCCTTCCCTGGCCGAGCTATGCCTGTGCCCTGCCAGAGCACCCCCTGCCCAGCCCGCACAGAATCCCTGCAGCGGGAAAACAGCCTCACACCTTCCAAACAGCCCCAGGGTCCCATATCGAGGGTCAAGAGACAAATTCCCAAAAATGCCTCTTGACAACCAATGAGCTTTGTCTTTTGTCCACTGAGTGAGGTATGAAAATGCCCCAAAGATGAAAAAAAAATGTACACTTATGCATCACTTAATGACGGGGTACGTTCTGAGAAATGCCTTGTTAGGAGATTCCGCCGTGTGAACATCGCAGAGTGCACTTACACAAGCCTAGACGGTGTGGCCTACTACCCGCCTCAGCTCTGTGACATAGCCTGTTGCTCCTGGCCACACACCTGTGCAGCATGTTGCAGAACTGAGAACCGTAGGTAATTGGAACACTGTGTTGAGTATTTGTGTATCTAAACATGTCTAGACATAGAAAAGGTACAGTCAAAGCGCAGTGTTATGGCCGGGCACGGTGGCTCACGCCTGTAATCCTAGCACCTGGGAGGCCGAGGTGTGCGGATTGCTTGAGGTCAGGAGTTCAAAACCAGCCTGAGCGAGACCCTGTCTCTACTAAAAAAAAAAAATAGAAAGAAATTAATTGACCGACTAAAAATATGTATAAAAAAAATTAGCCAGGCATGGTGGCGCATACCTGTAGTCCCAGCTACTCGGGAGGCTGAGGCAGCAGGATCGCTTTAGCCCAGGAGTTTGAGGTTGCTGTGAGCTAGGCTGATGCCACGGCACTCACTCTAGCCTGGGCAACAAAGTGAGACTCTGTCTCAAAAAAAAAACAAACAACAAAAAAAAAAACCCAGTGTTATAATCTTACAGGACCACTGCCGTATGTGCAGTTCGTTGTTAATGGATATGCCGTCATGTGGTCCATGGCTGTGCTTGTAAAATATACACACCCCACAAATGCACAAGAGTCCTGCCCAACAAGCCACCTCCGATCAGTCTACTACACCATAGGTAGCAAAGGTGAGTCCATCTTTGGAATATAATAGGAACATCGAAACATTGGAGAAGACATTTAGGCCACCATTCATTAGCACCTCTTTGCCCTTTAGAGAGCATTTAGGTTCCAGGCCAGAAAAAAAAAAAGGCAGAAAATAACAATTCTGGCCCACTAGTGGGGCCTGCTGGGCTCCAGGAGAGGCCAGGAGAAGCCACACAGGAGGAGCCAGGCCCACGTGGCAACCTCTCCACACGACCCTGGGTCTGCGCCAGCTTGGAGCCAGTCTGTGGAGGGTGATTTTCAAGAAAAATTTTGAAAATCTTGCTTCCCTGGGTGATTTGTTTTTAAAGACACTGTGCTTTGTGGAGACACCGAGACACAAACAGAAACCTCTATCACCTTGTGCCCTGGACCCATGATAATCAACATTTAAGGAAGCCAGTTTGGGGACCTATCACCCCTGTATGATGGAAGTCCAGAGGTGACTTAGAATTTGATGACTCACATCGTTTTCTTCACATCTTCCCAGAAGTGGATCAGCTGTAAATAGCAAAGGGTTCCTATCTCATATTGTGGTTAATACATATATATTTCAGTTCCCACCACTGAAGCCCTATGAGACAAAGAATGGAATTCTGTCTCCCTTTCTTTTCTCTCTTCTCTCTCTCTCTCTCTCTGGTTTCCCTTCCTCATAAATACTTATTCTTAAAATTTTCTTTATGAGGCTCACAATAGAATGGAGTATAAACACAAAGAAGGGACCCAAGCCTTGGCTTCTGCTGACATATTCCTGTCATGGACCCTGGGGCATTCCTGACGGGCCAGTAGTTTACCTGTTGTCCAGACAATTGCCACTGTTACCATGTGACACCCAACGGAATGTGCTGCCCACTCACTTCCTACTAACCCTCCGCAGGGTCTGAAGGGCCTCCTCCCCACCCCTCCTCCTTCCTCCCCACTCCTCCCCACCCCTCCTCCTTCCTCCCCACTCCTGGCCTGGGTTTCTGGCTCCCTCCCTTGCCCACCTTTCCTCGCCTCACTCCCTTTCCCTCTCACCCATGAGAATGACTATGACCAAGGAGACAAGAAAAGCTAAGACCATTTTTTTACATGAGAACAACACAATCCACCATGGTCCTGTCACAAGCTGCCATGGCGGGACCAGGCTGCATGTGCCAAGAGTGATGGGAATGATTTGAAAGGCTGTGCTCCAGCCGACTGCTCCATCAACCACCCCAGTCGACACACTCTCTCTCTTGTTGTCCCTACAGGAAAACCATAAGGGTTAAAATAGTAGATGAGGAGGAATACGAAAGGCAAGAGAATTTCTTCATTGCCCTTGGTGAACCGAAATGGATGGAACGTGGAATATCAGGTGTGAGATTCTTTAAAAACAAAACAGCCAAAAGAAAGAAAGAAATGATTTAAACAAACTGAAAAGCAAAAGAAAAAGCAACTATATTTTTGTCTCCCCCCTTTTTTTTCTCCTTCTCCTCCTTTCTCTTTTTGACCAACGGACTTTTTTTATTCATTTCCCTCCTGTATTCTCGCTCTCACCCTGTTTCGGTATCATCTCTGCCTTCTCAGCCTTCGCTTATTTCCAAATTCCTCCTTTCCCACCTTCTGGGCAGCACTGCAGCCACAACTCCTTGTGACCCTAATGAGTGACTTCCGTGTTTTGCAACAAGTATCCAATTATCCAATGGCCACCAGCCCATGCACTCTCCCTCCCCCACCCCACCCCACACTGAGACCCGTAAATGTGAAAACTCCTTGGCGGGTGGGGAGGAGAAGAAAAAGAAAGGAATGTGATGCATGCCCCTGCCCCCTCCCTGCCTTCCTCCTGGGGCCCAGGTTGCAATGATGCTTTGGCAGTTTTCTGCTGCATTCCCCAACCTCCGTTGAATGCTTGGCAGGTTACTCACTTGCAGAGTGGCCCCCAGGCCCCTCTGCCCTTCGTGGAGGTAAGTGTATTATCTGGCTATTTCACAGTTGGGTGGACTGTGGCATGGGAAGGCGAACCAGTTGTCAGAAGCCGCAGCATCTGAGAGTTCTCTCTTAGAGCTGGCTTCTGACTATGTGACCTGGAGCCCTGAGTTATTCTTCCTCTCTTGGGCGCCCCACCCCACCATGTCCTGCCCCTGTTCCTAGCCCAAGGTAGGATATCTTATTGAGTTTACTTGGGAATAATGCAACCTCTAAAACAGAAAATTGAGAGTCTGCAAAGGAAAGAAAGTAATTTCAGGTATGACAATTCCCAGTGGGCCCTGGAAAAGGGCTGACATTGGGCAGGTGTAGTCAGTACCAGTCACCAAGAGGCAGGTGTTGGACATCAGAGATGTCCGCCTTTGCTTGGAATCTGCAAGTGAGCATATTGCCCAGATGCCAAGGTAGCCTTCATCCCACACTAGAGAAGTGGCCTTGGCCCTGCTTTCCTCAGGATGTGCATCTCAGAATACCTGCCAGGGTTCATCTCTAAGGGGGTGACAATAATGTTGCAACCAGGGTAGATGCAAGGAAGGACATCTTTCCTGGAAGAAAATGATTAGAAGTCACTTCTTTGAATGTGTTGGAGGAATAGATGTGGGAATGGGTAGGAGTGCTCTTGGGAAACAGCAAGAGGATGTTTCATGCTCCCATTGAGGACAGACATAATGCTGGGAGCCTCATGGAGAATGCAGGAGTGAAATTCACCTGTGTGTCAAAAAGGGGTGGTCATTCTGCAACTACTTCATAATCATATGACAAGGAGCAGCATAAAGCCTTTCACTCAAGGACAGTTACCCTCCCAAAGTCTCCTCTCTGGGTCTTCTCAGACCCATATGATCAGTCAGTTCCCATTGTCTGCCGGGACAGCTCTCTGCAGAGCTGACTAGTTCTGTGCTGACACTGGTTTGGACACCCCTGGTATTGTAGAGGCCTCTCCATCTTCCATTGCTGGCCTTCTTCTTGGCCGCCTAATAAGACATTGCCATCAGCCTGACTGCTGAAAAGTGCTGGAAGAAAGAGACTATCTGTGGTTCCATTGTTTCCCACATTGTATTCCTGTGATCTTCCAATTCCTGCCACCAAAAATATTCTCAGAAGTTGTCTCAGCATCTGCCCTACTCGTTCCTACCTTCCTTGAGCATTTACTACACATATCCACAATTGGTTGGAAGCAGCAGATACCAAGGCATTGTAAGCCAGCTTCATCAATTTCCATAGTCCCAGCTACTTAGGTGCAAATGGAAGCAGCACAAAGGATCATGCAAGACACTGGAAGCAAGGCAGTGGCTCCCGACAAGAGGAAGGGACTGGAAGTCCCTATGTGCCCTTTTTTCCACCAGTAAAGAGGCTCTTCTGGCTGGGCTCATGGCACATGCCTGTAATCCCAGCACTCTGGGAGGCTGAGGCAGAAGGATCCCTTGAGGCCAGGGGTTTGAAACCAACCTGAGCAAGAGCAAGACAAGACCCCATCTCTAACAACAACAACAAAAAAAAATTAGAAAAATTAACCAGGCCTGGTGGCATGTGCCTATAGTCCCAGTTACTTGGGAGGCTGAGGCAGGAGGCTCCCTGGAGCCAAGGAGTGTGAGGTTGCAGTGAGCTATGATGATGCCACTGCACTCTAGCCCAGGCAACAAATCGAGACTCTGTCTCAAAAAAAAAAAAAATGGCTCTTCTTTTCTGCCTCCCCTAAGTACCCCTTCCAACAGCATGACAGAAAGTGACCTAAAATAAGCCTTGAGGCCTTCAAAAGACCTCACCAAATACATCTATGTCTACCCCCCATTTGAGAAAACTTCCTTTTCTGCACTGAGTTTTTTGTCAAAGGAGATGTCAGCAAAGCCCTGGTGGAGCCTAGTCCTGGAGCAGGTGAGAAGACAAGGATTTCAGCAAGATATCTGTGTGATATGCCCCCAGACCTCCCCAGTGACCAACATGCCAAGATGGAAGTTGCCAATCAGAAACTTGTCAATTTCCCAGCCTCCTATTCCATTGTCTAGGGGGTTAATTTTCAGTTTCTTCAGTTTTCCCATATTGTGGCCTCAGACCATAAGGTGAAAGGTCATAAAACCTGAATGTCTAGACTCAGAATCAAATGAAAACCCATCCAGATTTCCAAAATTCCCTGCTGTTCTTAGAGTGAAAGACAGAACAGTGGCAATTGCTTTTCATTATCACTGCTGCATGGGAGAGGCTTAGACGTTCAGAATGATACAGTCTCTCCATGGTCAAAATGACAATTGCATTTTTTAAAAAAATAAAGAATTGCATTTGAAATAGGAGACTCTATTCTTGGCAAGCAAAACAGCCTTCAGAGGTGAGATTAAAAGCTCTAGATGAGCTGAGGGAAGGACAAAAGGGAGACTGGATAGGAAACAAGTTGCCCCAGGGTGAAGCAGACCTGGAGTCTAGAAGTAGACTTCTGAAACAACATTGGGCACATCATCAGGGCAGTGGGGCTTGGATGTTGGAAGTCCCAGGTGTGAAAGGAAAGTGCTCTGCCCCTAGAATAGGGCCTGTTTGCTCCTCCTCTTTCCACATCCATGGGATCACCCTGACAAGCTTCCCAGATGCTTCCTAATTACTCGCTGAGCTATGCTCTTTCCTGTTTGTCCCTGGAGTGTCTGGGCAGGAATAAATGACTCTCACCTGACCTTGGGGATTAATACAGGGGAAAGGTTCAGCCCCAGCTTCTCTCATTAGCAGCAGTAGGAAAAACACCCTCAAGGTATTGTGTCACTCAGAGTTGGCTACCTGAATCTCGATGACCCATCTATAACTGCTGAGTGGGAAGTCTTGGATTCATGGAGACAAGGACCAGAGAATGATGCAAATCCAGCTGCCCTCTCACTACTCTAGGGATGAGACAGATGTTGGGAGTGGCGGAACGTCTGAGTGAAAAACCAGGGCAACCCGGACCTTTCTGGAAGTGCTACCCTCGTCCAGGCTACTTGGGTGCATTGATGTTTCCACTGGAACTTGGGGGCCAAGAGGTGCTCTTCCATGCAGACCCATGGAAGGAGCAGAATAAACAAGCTCTCTTGTTAGCTATCTCAGTGGAGTGAGGAGATCCATTAATCCATTACGCCTTGGAATTCTAGCTGGGGAATAGCAGAAAAAGTCAACTGCTGTTTGCCCTGTTTATATCCCATGCAGATTCTGGATATACATGTATCTTCAGTGGCTGTGAATATAGGATGATTGATCTCAGGCCTGAGTTGCATTCCTAGAGATTCTTGGAAGAAACTATTCACAGATTCCCCCAACCCCCACACACATACACACACTTCTTCCTCAGTCACCAGCTGTACCAGGAATATGTGGCAGGGGTTCCCAGACCTTTATCTGACAAGAGCCAAGGAGTGAGGGGCCATACTAAGATACCTTGGATATGAAAATGTGGCGTGTCACAAGAATTTTTTAAATTTTTAGACCTTGAAGTCTAAGAGAGTTTATCATAAGTACAAATTCAGTAGCTAGGAACAGCCTGTGTTGGGTGTGTCTTTAACTCAGTTTCCCAGCTCACATGGGGTTGTCATCTCCTATTTCTGTGCAGCTATTGGCATGACAGTCTCTCTGTCAGTCTCTCTGATTTAGCTTGCTCTTTCTAGAACAAAAAGACCTCTACCCAAAGATGCAGCACCATAAGGTCTATGGAAAAGACAACTGCCAAAACAGACAGCAAACAGCAAACCTTTATTGAACGCTACCGAGTGTAGGGACTTCGCTAGGCACACGTGATACAAAATGGTAGTTGTCTATGGCCCGACCTCCAGGATATATCTATTTAAAAGACAAACCATTCAAGGAAAACATTCTGCAGGACTTACCTTTTCACTAAGTCATTCTTTTAAAGGGAATCAAAGTTCTGGTTAACACAGTAGCTAGGAAGCCATTTGTGGCCATGGAAACCTAAAAGCCAAGCATGACCTGATTATGAGGGTAGGGATGGAAGACATGGAACTGGCCACTGTTCCACTTTTGCACACTTCTACCCAGTGCTCTGAGCTCTCATTCAAGCCCCATGGTCACATCTGCCACTGATAAGCTAGCTATTCTGGCAGGACTGCAACCTACACAATTTTCATGATAACTGGATTCTCACTCCTTGATAGACTGGATCACAAATGCCCCATCCACTGGGTTCCCCAACCCTCACGCCTCCATTCCCAGCCCTCAGGGTTACTGGGAAGGTGCAGAGAAAACTCGCTCCTAACGACAGGGCCACGGTGCTCAGCAGCCTCTCCAGCTGCTCACGCCTCTTGCTGTTGCTGCTGCGGCTGCTGCTGCGCATGCCCGAGTGCTGCTTTGCGCATGCGGCGGCTGAGCGCTCTCCTACTAAGCTCGCTGCTTCCCTTACGCTGCCGGCAACCAGGAACCCCGGGGATACTTTCAAGATGGGACCTAATGCTTTTTCCTTTTCTCTCTTCCCCTTGTCTGGTACCCATTTGCAAACAGCGCTCCTGTTATCTCCAGGTAAGAGGTGTCTTGCCCCCTTTTTTCTACTTCTTGCCAGTGCCATTATTTGGTTGAAGACCAATGTCCTTTGATTTGTCTAATAGCAACCGCAGGGTTGAGTTAACCTGATAAGTTCTTTCAAGGACTGGGAGATTTATTTCCCCCATGAAGTAGCTGTGAGGAAGTAGACAATTCCTTGAGCATCATTTCTGTCAGTGGAGGTGGGTAAAGGCCTATCTGATCCTCTCTGGGACCAGGGAGAGAAATGAAACTTATCAAGGAGCTGGTGGTTCATAGACTTCTCCTGAGTCTTAATTCATCTGCCATCTCATGTTGTGGGGGAAGAGAAGGTGAGAGTCAGAGCTGGAATCTTCTGATAGGACTGACTGTAATGGGATTTGAAAGAATCTAGAATTTTACTGAACCTGGAGAGCTTCCATCTCATCACAGCTGAGACTTAAATTGCTAGAATTTTGTTTCATTTGTTATTGACCCTTAAAGTCACATGTGCCATGAACAAGAAGAATTAGCATGTTATGGGTGAGGGTGGGGGACAATGTTCTGGCTGGAAAAAAAATATTAGATATTTTGTTTTGGAGAGATTCTCATGCAGAATCTAGATCTGGTGGAGGACATACACCTACTTTAAGAGTATGTTTGTATGAGTGGAAAGCAATCATAAATGCATCAAACTTCATGAGCAGATAAGCAAACATTTTCAGCACATCTAGCAATGCTATAACTCTTAATGCAGGGAGGGTGGCCTATACAAGACAGTTTGCAATATATTTTAAAAGAACAGCTTATATTTCATCAATTCTTTGAACATACAAAAAAAATTTAAGGGCCTTTAAGAGGCAAAACATCTTACACAGTTCATTTGTATAGGCTACGCCCTGGATTTAGGAATGGATGTTGTACATTGTAAGGACATTTGCCTTCTGGGAGCCTTAAACAAAAACATGTAGGTAATTCCTACATTTTCTTTTAGTGGAAAAAAAAGTTACTCCAGCTTCCTTGGTTTCTCACTTTATTTTTATACCAGCAACATAGGCTTACCCCCAATCTCCAGTCTTCTCCCAGGGAATTGATTCTGTTTCTAGCACTGATTCTTTCTTCTCCGCTTCACTCATCTTCTTGCCTGTGAAGGTATTTGGGCTTCTTTGTTCCGACTCTCCACCCCATACACAGACGCACACAACAAACAGTGTGATTATATTTATGCTTCTTTATGTTTTTAACATACTTGCAAATATCAATATAAGTGAAAGTAGGGGAAAAGAAGAGTTTCTTTTTCTAGATCTTTCTGTCTTTAAGCCTTTAATTTAGGAGCCTTCGATTAGGTTTTAAATCCACTGGAAATCTCAAATCCTGGTTTTAATTTTCCTGGGTGGACAGGCAAACATGATTAACATGCCTGGTGGTGGAAGAGAGAGTAAATATGTTCATTCTGAGCCAAGCCACCCCACCAAGCTCAGGGGACTTAGAGTGACAGCAATGGCTGCATCACCCTTCTTTTTTCTGAGGATGCCTGCAGAGTATTCACAGAAACCTATTCTTGTCTGGCCTGGCAAGCTCTTTGTTCTTCCAATGTTTGTTCAATATTTCATCCTATTCATATTCTCCTCTCTCCCTCTCTTCCCCACCTATCTTCCTATTCCTAGAACTGAACGTTTGTTTAGTCCATCTGAATATCTAGATCACCCATCGTTTATTCTCTTTACTTGAAATTCTGCAGAAGCACATAAAGAAGTGATCAGAATCACTATGGTCTTTTGAGTTTGAGACTTATTCTCTCAAGAAATTAACTTAATTTGAATTTAAAGGAATGATCATGACAAAAATAGAAAAAGACAGGAGTTACTGCCAAACCAAGAAACTAGATCAGAATTGATTTAAAGGCATTCAAATCAATCAATTAACAGATTTTTATAGAGTGCCTCTGTGGGGCTGTGGGGGAGCTACAGATAGAAGATTGGTTATTTGTCAAAAAGATTATTGCAGAAAGCTAGATGGAAAAACTGACTGTCACCACAGGGGTGGACGGGTCAGCAGTTAGATCAATATCCTGCCAGATGGATATAGTGCTAGATTGATAGCTAGACCAGAGGTTAGACAGGTACATTTATATGTCACTGGAGAGCTCATTATATTCGTATAAAGTTCTTGTGTCACATGTAAAGTATGACATGGGGGAATTGGGGAGGGAGAAGTGGAATAACACTGTCACTACTAAGATAGGCATTGTGATATGGTGCTAAAGCCAGAGAGTAGAGGAAACCAGTACCCATAAGGAATCTGTATGTCTTTTTCTAAGGGTTCTTTTCCCAGAGTAGCTTGCAGTCTGGCTTCTACAATCTCTGGCCTCATAGCGAAAATCTTAGATTCACCCAGATTTGCCTTCAGCATTAACTAATCAAAGACTCGGATACAATGGATTAAATGACGTCAGGCTGCTAAAGGAGGCCTGCTGACTTGGAAATATGCAGAAGGACATAGATCCTTGTGAAAACATAGTTTCCTAAAGTGGCCATCAACACTGGAGGGAAGACAGCACCATGGACAGCTCCCAAATATTTTGGGATTGACTCCTGGTGCTTCGCTGAGTAAAACAGCCTCCTGCTCAGGAATTCGCCACACACTCTCATATAATCTTCATTCAGGCCAACTAAGAAAATCCTGAAATAAAATATGAGACTCTCTTCTTGGTGACTTACATCCTTGACTTCCAGTCTTTTCAGTGAATTCCTCTCCTTGCAACCTCGAGAGCTGGAGTCCCACCCCTCCCTTTGCTTCACCAACTGCCCAGCTAGAGAGAAAAGAAGACCTTCTTGGCCTCTCACCCATTTTGTCCTTGAGATTATCCAAGGACTAGAAGATTCCCCTGGGAGGTTCACTGTGTGGAATGAAAGCAATTAAGGAGCTGAATAAAAGAATTAATTGCATGTGAGAATGTGGACTTGGATGGGAAGATGTTTAAATGAGCTCTGAAAGAAACAAGCTGCCAAGAGCAATTTTCTAATCAAAAGGGAATAAAAAGATTCAATCTCTATTTTACTCTAATCCAGAAAACATGTCTTCATGGTGAAGTGGTCTTAAAATGGACTCACCAGCTGAAGTGGAAAAAATTTCTAACTGATCCACATGAGAAGGGACCACTGGTAAATGAGTCAAGATGCTGTGGGACACAGAGAATGCATCAAAAGAAAGTAAAGGAAGAGCTTTCTTTTATTTTGTTTTTGAACGAGTATTTGCGTTCAAAAAACTGTGCCCTGTTTATATCAAAATCTTGGGGGTCTTTCATTGGAACACCATGAACTTGAGGGAAATCTTCCAACTTTCTCATTGTGAGGATAATATTCACTTATATGAAGTGTAGATGTTCCTAGACACATCCCCCATTTCTCCTTTATAAGGAAAAGAGTGCCAACAGTGTTGGAAACAGATGCTAATATGAACCAGTAGACATTTCCCCTGAATAAGTGTACTTCTGTACCTCAAGAACTCTTACCTGAAGTAGCAGAACAAACAGGCCCAAAAATCCAAAATAGGTAAAGGTCAAGAAATTTGGCTTTTCTTCCCAGCTCCCCAACATCTTACTGAATTACTTGGGAACTCCACTTGGTGCTATGTCTCAGAAGACCTTTGCCTCTAGTCGCCCACCCAGGTCTGAAACAGAAAGAGGAATGCTTACCCAAGCATATAATGGTCTAATAGTCTAAATAGTCTAATGATCTAATGGTCTAATAGTCATAAAGTGTTTAGTGCTTCATAGAAAGAGCACTAAAATATACACAAAGTCCCCAGTTCCTAAGAGCCATTCGGTTTGGACCCACTGCCCACACCTAATCCTGTAAGTGTAGACTTCCGGGGAATGGAAAAGGTGCTAAAGCTAGTCTGATTTTGTTTTGTTGCAGAGGTGACAGACAGGAAGCTGACTATGGAGGAAGAGGAGGCCAAGAGGATAGCAGAAATGGGAAAGCCAGTATTGGGTGAACACCCCAAACTAGAGGTCATCATTGAAGAGTCATACGAGTTCAAGGTCAGGCCATCAGTGAGGTCTAATTGCATAATGAATTAATTAGGATGAAAGGCAGAAGACCTCGGGCTTTTTTTTCCCTCCAGTTTTACCACTGAATGTGTGAAGTTGAAACTGAACAAATCACTTACCCACCCCAGGTCTCAGTTTCCCCATTTGTAACATGGAAAAAACAATACTGGCCATTTGTATGCTAGGAATATTGTGAGGAAACATAACATAGAATATGGAATAAATGGTCTAGAATATGAAATAAATGGTCTAGATGTATGATTACCGTTATTTAACTATATTTTTAAAACAAAGACGCTAAAACTCACTACTAAGGGGCAAAGTTTATTAACATTTTTATTGTTATTCTCTATTGTATTACTCTAAACATCCCCTGTCAAAAGTCACAATCAATTAAAAAGGAGAAAATAAAAGGATTTTCCCAGAAGATGCCGTCCAAGGCCACACCGTGCATAGCTTTCAGGACCCCTGGAAGGCAGGGCATCTTTCACCCCTTTGAAACACCAGACTCCTCATTGGTTCTGAGCATTCTAACCTCATGGTTCCAAGTTTTTCTTTCCCTGACAGACTACAGTGGACAAACTGATCAGGAAGACAAACCTGGCCTTGGTGGTGGGGACCCATTCCTGGAGGGACCAGTTCATGGAGGCTATCACCGTCAGCGCAGGTAAGAAGGGCTTCAGGATGGCTTTGCAGGGAGAAGCAGACAACACCTGAAAAGGAAGCGCGGAGCCACATCAGTAGCCCAATCCCTGGGAAGGGCTCTGTGTCCAGTCTTCCCGGCTCTAGTCCTAGGTGTCTGCCTGCTTCATGGGGTCGCTTTGGACAAGAGCGTAGCCGTCTCTAGTTTTGAATCCTGGTTCTTCTGTGTGACCTGGAACCACATATCCTCTCTGACCTCCACTTCCTCTTTCTTCAATATATTGCTGCCTTTCTCAGAAAGGTGGACGGGCACATTGTACCAAACACAAACTTCTGGTTTCCATTTTTCCTTCATTTCATTAATTTGGTCCCACTTTTCTGTAAAATGAGAGACAGTTCAATTCTGATTTAGAGGTGCTGGAGTCAGGAGTTTGAAAAAGGTTTTGCATTGACTCTCCAACAAACCTCCCCCTCCCTGGATGTTTCCAAACCTCTCCTTCGACATTTACTGACAGGTTCCCCAGTAGTGACCCACAGCCTGGCCAGGAGCCCCAGGGCCTGCAGACGTGCTGGAATGGGGTGGAAAGGGTCTGCCAGCCATCAACGCTGCCTCTCAGCACCACCCAGGCATCCTCACACTGCCCAGCACTCCTGGCCTTGTCTTTTTTCATGAGGCTTTGTTGTCATAGCAACCCACAGGGTCACATCCCCAAGGCCCCAGAGCCAGAGCAAAAGGACAGCCAGGGAGAAAGGCTTGCTGCTGCTGCTGCTGCCGCTGCTGCCCCACTTTTCTCAGCGCCCGCCTCAGATCCTTCTAGCCTCCCTCTGCTGACCCGACTCTGCCCCTGGAGACAATGACCAGGATGTAGGCCACATAACCTGCCCCTCCTTCCTCAGATGAGGGAGCCGGAGTCCAGAAACGAGAGATAATTCACCCCGGCTTACAGATTTTCCTCATGGCAAAGCTAGAATTAGAACCCGAGGGTCCTGACTCCTGCTTTGTGCAAACCTGGCCTCTCCCAGTGATGCCAAAATGTGGCAGAGTTCAGCCTTGACAAGGTGCCGCGGGCCTCGGCACACCCTCTACCCCCGGGCTGCTGAGCGGGCCCTCTTCCTGCATTTCCTGGCAAGGAAACCAGGGCCCATCCCGGCTCTGTCCCAGGGGGCATCTGGAGGACGGCACCGGCTCTCTGGCGTACTCGCATGATCTGGAATGACAGCCGTCCCTCTGGGGCTGGATAATGACCAGAACCGTGACGGCTGCTGCAGCCGTCAGGTCAGAGAACTTGAGAGCAGCCCTGTGGGCGTCCAGTGAAGAGTGGCACGCAGAGCGGATGTCACTGTTCTTCGCCGAGGCTGCCAGATGCAGCCTGCTCCAGCCTCCTTCCTCTCTCCTCCACTTTCTTGTCCCTCTCACGTTCTTCCAGCCTCTCTCTTAATCTCTCTCTCTCCTCTTCCTTATTCCCCTGCCCTCTCTCTCCCACTCTCCCTTGGTGCCCTGCATTCAAAGTGACCAATGAGGCAGCTGGTTTCCCATTTCCTGACTGTCCTGGTGCCCAGGCGCTGGCATCCCCAGCTGCCCAGGAGAGAGCCGGGGTCCCCTTTCAACCCGTGATGTGGGACAGGCCTGGCATTCTCGTGAACGACCATCTGACCTTGCTGCCCTTCCTCGGGCTTGTTTGTCTTGCCTCCAGCAGGGGAGGAGGATGAGGATGAATCCGGGGAGGAGAGGCTGCCATCCTGCTTTGACTACGTCATGCACTTCCTGACGGTCTTCTGGAAGGTGCTGTTTGCCTGCGTGCCCCCCACAGAGTACTGCCACGGCTGGGCCTGCTTCGTGGTCTCCATCCTCATCATTGGCATGCTCACCGCCGTCATTGGGGACCTGGCCTCCCACTTCGGCTGCACCATTGGTCTCAAGGATTCAGTCACAGCGGTGGTTTTTGTGGCGTTTGGCACCTCTGTGCCAGGTGAGAGGGAGAGGTGCTTGAGGTTGCAAAGAAAATATCACCTGGTTCCAAAACCCCCACATGCTGCCTTATTATCTCAGATCTGAGCTCAACAGAGCCTCTGCCCTTAAGGTGCACAAAACTCAATCAGGGGATTAACGGTGGCATTAATAATGATAGCTAACATTTCCTGAGCACTTTCGATGCGACAGGAACTATGTATGTTAAGCAATTTACACGTTTCGTCCCTGCAGTGCTACCCCAAACCTGCTTAGGGAAAATTCCTGTCCCTACTTTGATAGATAAAGAAACCGAGGCCCACAGAGGTTAAGATACTTGCCCAAGTAAGTGGCCCAATTTCCTAACTTCCACATGATGTGACTAGGCCACAAATGATGCAATTCAAAGAATATAGATATTGTTCTCCTTCCACTTGCCTATGGCAGTCTCTGAGAGGCTAAAGATTAGCCTGCTTGAAGATGTCATGGTAGAAATGCCTCCTCTTCTTGGAAGGACACTGTGAGTACAAAGTGTTTCCTAGCAGGACTGGCAAAGGAGGCTTAGCAAGTTTTTGTCCTTTCATATGATGAATTACACACTTTTTTTTCCCTTAAAAACATTCAGAGACAAATGAGAGTAAGCATTCGTTCGTTCCTTCATTGGACAAATGTTTACTGAGCACCTATTATGCCCAATACAGTTCTGTGCTAGTGGCAGGGACTATAATGAGAGGCAAGACAGACATGCTTCCTTCTCCAAGTGGGGTTTATAATCTAGTAAAGAAGATGATACACAGCTACTATAATTAAAATTGTTTCAGTATTTTCTATGAAGAAAAGTGAAGGTTCTGTGAAAGTAGACAACAGGTGGATCTGGGCTAGGCAGGGACCAGGGATGGCTTCCAGGGGAAGTTACATGGAAGCTGGACCTGAATGGCAAGTGGGGGTCAGCGGGTGGAGGGGAGGGGGGCTACATTAACCCAGCTTCCTTAATTAATTCATTTGGGGTCTCCAGGGCATCTGAACTCTGAAATCCTACCGGGGAGCTGGCATCCTAGTTGCCCCAGGAAGAAACAGGGCATGCCCCTACAGGAGGGTGAGGCTAAGTCTAACCAGACAGGACTCTGCTGGCTGGACCAAGGGAAACCCTTCTTGCACTAAGAAAATATATTCTTTCTGGAGAGTAACTGAATCTACATCACACTCTAGGAAATCCTTGTCCCAAAACCCCAGCGCAGACCTGTGGAATTATTTGTACATTAGTGATGCAAGAGGTTTGGCTATCACAAAAATGCATCAGGTGGTTAGAAATTAGATTAATTAATTGGAAATTAAATTAATTTCCAATTAAATCCAGGGAAGCCCTCTGATCTCCGCTCTCCAGGTCTTGGAGGACCTGAACTATCGTGGTGGGGGTGGAGAGCAACTATAGGGAAAAGAACAGAGGTGGGGAGAAATAGCAGAAGCAAAAAAAGTAAAGTCCTAGGCAAGACCTTGACTTTCGGCAAGAGGTTTTCTCTGGGACTTCTGAGAAAATCGTTGACAATGAGACAAGCCAAGACATGCCAGGCAGGAAGACAGCTTGGGGCATTTCCAAGCCCTTGCATTTGGCCCACAGAACAGCTAATAGCATGAGGGGCTTTAAGAAGGTTATGCCATGGTGCCTTCATCTGATTTTGTGGCTTTGGCTGAAGCTCTTTGGATATAGTTGGTAATATGGAAAGGGTTCTTACATGAGGGTTTAGGGTCAAGTCTCTTGCTAACTTCCTATATGAGCTTGAGTAGATTCCTTGGCCTTGCTTTCCTTACCTGTAAAATGAAAGGGTTGAGCTAGATGTCTCTAATAGTCCCCCTCTGTGTCTACAATCTGTGCCCAGATCTAAAATCAAACATTCTGTGATGCCCTGTGGTGCACACATAGACCACGGAGACAGAGCCTGTCCTCCTTGAGTCCACTGCTCACCTGCATGTCCCCACCATGGCTCTCTACTGTGTCCTCTGTCCCCATAAATCTAGCACCTAGCCCAGTCCTGAGCTTGTAGGCCCTGCCCATTAATTGTCAGTGTCTAGTGAGTAATGGCCCCACATGACCGTTACAATCAGCATCTACTCTAAGCAACTTCCCGCGGCGTCAGCGTTCCCAGGGGAGATATTACGGGGTGGCAAACTCCTCTTACCGAAAAAGTAGTCAAAGGAGAACAAGAGGCCCACTCAGTAAATGTCAGGACTGGAAACGCCCTTAGGAATCCTATGGATTCCTGAAGACAAGGAACAGGGAGTGCAGAGCAGTGATGTGACTTGCCCAAGGCCACACGGTTTGTTAATGGCACAGCTGGGAGCGGCCCCCTAACCCTGCCTGTCATTCCTGGGCTCAGTCACATGCTCCAGCTGCTTTTTGGGCGAACTGACACATAGGCCCTCCACCCCTCAGCCTCCCGCCAGCTCCCATTCCTCTCTCCCTTTTCCAGATACGTTTGCCAGCAAAGCCGCTGCCCTCCAGGACGTGTACGCAGACGCCTCCATTGGCAATGTGACGGGCAGCAACGCTGTCAACGTCTTCCTGGGAATCGGCCTGGCCTGGTCCGTGGCCGCCATCTACTGGGCCCTGCAGGGACAGGAGTTCCACGTGTCCGCTGGCACGCTGGCCTTCTCCGTCACCCTCTTCACCATCTTTGCGTTTGTCTGCATCAGCGTGCTCTTGTACCGACGGCGGCCCCACCTGGGCGGGGAGCTCGGTGGCCCCCGTGGCTGCAAGCTTGCCACGACGTGGCTCTTTGTGAGCCTGTGGCTCCTCTACATACTCTTTGCCACGCTGGAGGCCTATTGCTACATCAAGGGGTTCTGAGCCACAGAGCAAGGCCTCCGGCAGGGCAGGCCTGGGACCTCCCGGATGAGATGGGCACCTCCCCACCAGTGACCTCTCCAGGATGAGCAGCCGTGGAGAGGCAGCATCAGGACCTGAGCCCCAGAACCTCACCCGACCTAGGCCCTGGCAGTGAACTGAAAGGGCAAAGTCTTAATCAACCAGAACGGGGGAATCGCCCACTTGACAAAGTATTTAATTAAATACAAACAACAGCAACAAATCCACCTCCACCCATCTTTCTGCTCTTGTCCCTGACCCACAGCGAAGGTCAGACGCCTTCCCCTCCTTCTGCTGCACCTTCTCCTGCTTATTCTTGTGGCCTCTCGTTTCTTTGGGGGCAGGTTTCTCTGTCTAATTCAGTGCGTCCCTGTTATCTCATGCAGCTGGCAAGGCGCAAAAATGAGTCAGATGCATGTGGCAGGTTTGGGTTCTCTTTTCATTGTGATCATTATTGTGTTTGCTTTGTTTTTCCATGGGTTTTTGCTTATTGTTCTGTTTTGTCTTTTCTTCGTGAAGTTGAGTGATAGAGGTGCCGTGAAGGAACCTCAGGGCTGAGTCGACTGACAGAAGCATGAGTTTTCAGACCCCCGCCCTCCCGCTCCCATGGCGTAACGGCGGGCTCTTGGCTCCTTTGGGTGCTGGCCCTGCCTCCCAGTTTCCTCTGGGTTCCTTGGAGGACTGGGGGCATGTGGGCGGAAGTAGGCTTGCGCCCCGTGGGGGCAAAGAACAGGGGCTTCACCCGGAGCAGGAGGAGTTTTTATGTGCTAATGTCGAAATCAAGTCACAGACAAAATGCAATTGCCCTCTCCCCTGCCCAAGCCTGCCCCATTCTGTATGCCTTGTTTTGTTGACGTCTACATGTGTATCCATCTGCAGGGAGCCCCTCCAAGTGGGAGAGATGGGCCAGAAATAGGGACGGTGTGCAATGACAAAGGCTGAGAACAAAAGGAAACATGCTTTCCTGGATCTCTTCGGCTTTGCACCTGAGGCAGGAGAGGGGCGATGTCCAACCAGGAGGATCTTAATAGGGAAAGATTCTATTTTAAATGTCAGTGTTTCTGAGAAATGTCAGCTTCACCACGCCCCGCCCTCTTCCTAATGTTCTATACGAAGACGGCTGACCGTATTCCTTGAAGTGGTTTAAAAACCTAGAGGTTTATAAGAGAACAAGGGGCTGCTCCCTCCTCTCCTGGTCCCTCAGGTCACATGTGAGAGCATTTACACAAGACAGGAACTGGGAATCCTCATTTCTCCCACGTTCCTGCTTGTTTTTAAACTTCATGAAGCTCTTTTTTCCAGCCTCTGGGGTATTTCTTGCCCCAGGAAGAGGAATCTTAGTTGCCATAATCCCATGGAGCCTGGGTTTTTAGACACAGAGATTGCCGTACCCTGCAGAACTTTTCCCAACAAATTTTGAAAGGACCTGGCTTTAAAACACACACACATAGATAACCACACATACGACATCATCACGAAACTGCCCACACACCTTTAAGGCTTTCTGCAGTGACATAAATACATTTTCTAAGGGGGAAAAAATAAATTAAAAAACACCTGTTTAATTTTAAACACTTTTTTAAAGAAAAAAACTAAAAAAGAAACAGTGCTTGTGTCATAAACTACGTTGACCGTTGCCAGTAGAAATGTTGGGTTGGTTAAAAAAAAATAATAAAAGCTATACTTATATCTCTCTATACACAGCTTGCTTCTTCCCGTGTTTCTTCAGCAAAAGATCCAGGGGCCACCTTGGGTTTCTTCTGAGAAGATATGACTGAGGTGAAGGTGTCATCTCCTATCAAACTCAGGTGCCAATGTGCCAGCCCCAATATTTTTTAAGCAAAAATACTTCAGGGAAATGCTGCCTGTCAAAACCTAGATTTTGAGGAGCCAGAGGATATTAGTACTAAGAGCTATGACGATTAAAGGGGAAGGGGCTTTCTGCAGTAGAAAGTTGTGACAGGGCAAGATGCCTGCTAGGAAAACAGTGCCCTGTGGCTAAGACCAATAGACATCTGTTCATTCATTCATTTACTCATCACTTATTCAACAACTTCTGAGCTCCTTCCTTGTATTGAGCTACGTTTTGGTCACACAAAGAAGGCCAAGAAACTCACAGTCTAGACGAGGGAAATGCATCAGAAACCCGTTAGACTTGTTCAGAGAAATGGAGAAGGCAAAACCATGAAGGCCTGGACAGGGGAATCTTGCAGAGCCCAAGGCAGGAAGCACAGCCAGGCACAGGAGCCTGAAAGCCCTGGGAACCGGGCCCTCCTCCTGCCTCACCACACACAGGCTCTCGCACCCCTGCTCCCCTCCCTACTGGGCCTGTCCTCTCCGTCTCTCTCCCAAGGGGCTTCCTCTGCTTTCTTTTCTTACACGCAGCCCAGCACCTCACCAGCCCTAACACTGTATCATGGCCTCGCAGCTCCAACTCCCCACAATCATCTAGAACTCCCCTCTTTTTCTCTGAGTGCAAATTCTCAATCGAGAGAATATGGCCAATTCCCCACCCTAGAGGGCCAATCCCAGAAGGCAAGATCTTTTATAGAAGGCTGTTGTGGTGGCTGGGATGCCCATGGATTGGTTGCTTTGGGTCAGGTGTCCACTCCTGGTCCAAACAAGGCAGGTAAGGAGAGAAAGGTGATGATGACATTGTGTGTACTGTTGCCCCTTCCCAAAGCCACGTGATGAGAAGGACCTTATTGAGCATATGAACACCAAGGTGCAAATAAAAACAGCAGTTCTATGCTGTTCTATGAGGGCTCTAAGAGTGGCCCAAACAAAGTGCCATGGGAACACAACAGAAAGTATCACTAACGCAGCCTGGAAGAATTGGGAGAGACTTCTCAGAGAATGTAGCATCTAAGTAGGATCTTGAAGGAAGATGAAATAGTGATTTACTTAGGTGAGGGGTCTTGATACTGAAGGACAGATGAAAAAGGAAGAGCATGTGCAGAGGCACGAGATAAGACAGCAGGTGGCATAGTCACAGAAAGACAACTGGCACGGCGAGTAGAGCCCAAGGAAGGGTGAATAGCTGTGGCCCCACTGTGTGCTTTGCTGGAGTTTAGAAGCTGTCTGCAGTGGGGTCCTGGGCTTGAACTGCCGTCCAAAAATGGGGTTAAGAAAGCAGCATCAGGAATACAATTCCTACCGTGGAAGATGATAACTAGACAGCAATGGGATTTGTAAGTAAAACAAAACAGCACAAAAAAGCAGGAATGGAGAAAGGCTGGGCCAAAAGGCTCGTTGTTTTTTGTCGGCCACAAAGTAAAAAATGAAAAATACCTTTTAGCTGATTAAATGGTAGATGCACAATCACAAAATCTATTTGTGACCATCGCTCCCCTCTTCGGAGTCCCTCCTGGATTACCCAGATGTTAGGCTTTGTCAAGAGAGAAGCTAGAATTGTGGGGAGGAGAATTGAGGGAAGCAGCCCTGGAATCTGAAAACCCGCGTAATAGTCTAGGTGCCACCACTGACTCATTCTGTGGACTTGAGCCAACCCGTCTCCTCTTAGGATCATAATTTCCTGAACTGTAAGTGAGGTTTTAATAAATGACCTCTGAAACTCATCGCTTGTAGCTTTCAAACTGTGATTCTAGAATATGTACAAAAGCGATGCGTGTGTGTGTGCACACACACAAACTGCCTGGCAACCTTAAATGACACACCATCGCAGACGTCCTTTTGCAAAGCCTTGGCCCTGTGCCCTGTGCATTATTGGTTATTATTATGAGGATATTGTTAGCCACTGCACACGTGCTCATTCTCAGCACTTTTTACTGACTGAGCCACAAGATTCCCACCCCTTTGACTCATTTATTATTAGGGTAATGTTAGCTGCTGTAATAAATAAACCCCAATATTTCAGTGGCTTAGCAAAATGAAAGTGTGTTTCTCACTCATGATAATTCAGAGAGGATGTTCTTGGTCAGCAGGTAGCTTTTTTCCATGTGATGATTCAGGGACTTGGTTTCCTTCCACTTTGTAACTCTGCCAGCCTCTGGGGCCTTGGAGTCCTCTTTATCCAGCAGCAGATGGAAGGAAATTAGAGAAGGCACACACTTCTAACTGCCTTGGCTCTGAAGTAGTACTCACCACTTTTGCTCAAATATGAGAAAATATATGAGCTTTTGTTAGTAAAAGCGAGTCACTTTTACCCACTCAAATGCAAGGGAGAATAGGAAACGCAGTTCTTGGCTGGGCAGCCACTTCCCAATGACCAAACAACCACTCTGTACTACAAAAAGATAATTTTTTAATGAATGTTTGCATCTGCCACACTCCCTTTGTGATTAAAGATAGATAGTTTTAACATCAATTAGCCAAGAGCAGTCTGAACTTATGTCTATGTGGATTTTCATGGTTTACAAAAACCCTTCCACATGCATGTGTTTTAATCTGATGAAAACCACAAGAGGTAGATATTTTCATTTTATCAGTGACGTTCTGAGAGGTTAGATGATTGCCTGGGAGTACACAGAGAGTGAGAGGCAGGCACAACCACAGGTCTTCTGATTCCAAATCCAAACTCCTCCCAGTAATCATGATCTCTTGTGCCAAACACCAGAACAAAGAATGAGACTCACAGGGGGCTGGATTGAGCCAGTGAGAAAGTTCCACCGAGAGGCAGTCAGCGTCCAGGGAGGAAGGCAGGGGAAGCCAGCCGGCAACTGGCCCTCTCATGCTCGTGCGACTCCCTTCTCCTCTCCTTTGTCTCATCTTCCTGAGCAAGGAGCTTCCTCTAGTCCTGAATGGACTGATACGCCAGTAAAAGCCCAGGGCAGACTGAAATTTTGGAAATTTCACTGTGATGAAGTGATTTGGATGGAGGAGCCTAATTACCGATGATTAATGATGGAGAGTCAGCTGGCCCCAGGGAGGTGGTAATTCAAAAGACATCTTCTTGGAAAAGGGCACCCAAAAAAGACTCCTGGAAAACTGCCCTGGTAGGTATGTCATGTGGCAGTGTTGACATTTTCAGAAGGGAACAGGGAAGAGGAGAAATCAAACTGACTTTATAAAAAGTAAGATTAGCCTTTACTCATAAACTGGGAGGTAATTTATCATTCTTTTCTTTCTTGTTATACTTTTATGGAAGTGTATTTGACACATAAAAATTATATATGTTCAGGGTTTACAGCTATACGTTAACACTGAAATAATTGCGGCAGGTGGAGAGGGGAAGAGTGGATCTAGAGAGGCAGGCAGGAGATTTCTGCACACCATACAGAGTTGTTGCAATGACTTCATGAGATAACAGGCTTAGCAAAGTGCCCGACACATAGGCACAACTCCTGGGTGAAAACACTGAGGAGACCCAGAGAGGCGAAGCTGACTGTTTGAGGACATGTAGCTAGCCCACAGCAGGACCAGGACCAGGGTAGGGACCCCAGTCATAGGTGCTCTCTCCACTGCCCTGCCTGGCCCTGCCATACCATGTGGCTTTGCTACTGATATTAAGCTGTCCTTTCACCCTTAACTTCCCTCCAGGAGTTATCTTCCCAGGCCACAGCCCCACGTCTTACGTTTTTGTTTTTCTTTGAGACAGAGTCTCACTCTGTTGCTCAGGCTGGAGTGCCATCGTGTCAGCCTAGCTCACAGCAACCTCAAACTCCTGGGCTCAAGCAATCCTCCTACCTCAGCCTCCTGAGTAGCTAGGACTACAGGCATGCGCCACCATGCCCGACTAATTTTTTTTTCTATGTATATTTTTAGCTGTCCAAGTAATTTCTTTCTATTTTTAGTAGAGACTCTTGCTCAGGCTGGTCTCAAACTCCTGAGCTCAAACCATCCACCCGCCTCAGCCTCCCAGAATGCTAAGATTACAAACGTGAGCCACCGCACCTGGCATGTCTTATGTTTTTACAGTGGTATGTGCGTCCATCCCATCGTGCTGTTTCTACCTCATTCTACCACCTTAGCAGGTACATTTCATTATACCTTAGTCTAAACCACTTTGTGTCTAGATACTGACACAATGCACTATTCAACAACTCAGTAGACACACTCCTCCTTCCTCCACATTTAATGGACTTTTCCATTTCTATATCCCTCTTTAGATGTATAGCAAATTTAGTGCCATTAAAAACACTAAGTTAGGGTTTGAAAGAAGTGGATTCTGATTCTGGCTCTACCACGAGCTAAGTGTTTGACCTGGGGAAGGCCACTTCGCCTATTGAGGTTTTAGATTTCTCATGTATAAACATTAGAATAGGTGATTTTCTAGGCTCCTCCCAGTACCAAACTCAACAATGACACAAAGGAGGAGCAGGAGGAGGAAGATTCACAGATAGTGAGGCCAGCTTTGTGCCAGGCACTGTGCCGAAGATTTTACCCTCATTATCTCACTGAGCCACCATGGCCACCCACTTTACAGATGACAAAACTAAAACTCACAGTGGACAAGTGATTTGCCCAAAGTGCACATAACTACGTGGTAGCACCAGCATATCTACTTGGATTCATCTGACAGCCAAACTCTAAACCAGTGATTCTCAAAGTATGGTCCCCAGATTCTCAAAGTATGGTCCCCAAAGTAAGTATAAACAACATCAGTGTCACCAGGGAATGTATTAGAAATGCACGTCCTCAGGCCCCACCCTAGACTCCACTCCAAACCTCTGGGAATGGGTCCCAGTAACTTGTGTTTAACAAGTTTTCCTAGTGAATCTGATACGCCCTCAAGTGC